AGCTGAGAAACTTATTGCAGCAGTTTAAGCTGCGGCAGCATTACAGAAGGTAGGTTTGACTTTAAAGCTACTCTCGCCAATGCTCAACAGGTGACCTCAAATGGTTTCTAATCAAGTCCTTAAGGGCAGTAATATATCCCCATTTTACAGATGGGGAAATTAAAGCTCTAGGAAGTTTAATTTCTCTAAGCACATATAGCTGGGAAATGATAGAGCTGGAATTCAAGGCTCTTGGTCATTAGACTGCATTTCTTGTATTACAGAAAACTACCTTCCCAACAGCTGAAAACAGTTCATATTGGGAGAAATATTCAGTCCTACTTAATCAATAAAACCCATGAGATTGATCAGAATGGAAAATAATCCAACAGGACAGAATTGTACAAGTCTAGGAAAAATAAATAATTTAGGGCCATACCCTATAGCCTTCAATAAAGATAATGGTGGTCTGAGAGAAAAGGCTATGGAGGTTAATGTTAATATTAAATTACTGAATCACTGGTGGAATGATAGGATTATTAAATACAAGTTATCCTTTCTGTACCAATCTTTTACTTATATGTCTGTACTTTAGCCTTTTGCCAGGCTCTTATCCAATATCTAGCCCAAAGGTAGGGACTGAGATTCCCAAGATCTCTAAGAAGAGGTTTACAGAAATAAGATATGAAACATAACCTCTGGAGATAGACTTAGATCAAATCCCAGCTCTCCTACTTAGTAACTGCATAACTTTTACATAGCCTTTCCCAACCTCTGCTTTCTTGTTAGTAAGGTGGGGATAATGGTACTACTAGTATATAGTTCACAGGACAATTTTGAGAATTAAATAACAAAATGCAAAAATCACACTTGGCGCATAGTAAGTGTTCAACATTATTTAATTATTATTTTTAACAGTTCTTTGTTGACAAATTAAAATTTGACATCCATTTCTATCAAAATTATTTTCCTTTCTACATGCCGAAATCTTTCTTGCTAAATTCATTTTTGTGTGTGTGATATTGCTGTAATTAGCAGAGACAAGTTATTTTCTCTTGAAAAAGAGATAATGATCAGGCAAACATCATTCTTCAACGTCTATGTAGGATTTGGGGATTCTGTAAATGATTGAGAAAATAATACCAAAATTAGATTAAGGCCCCAAATGTTATTATTGTAGAAAGTAATTTTCCTCAACGTTGAAAATTGTGTAATAATTTATTCAAGGAAGTTATCATCTGGGCTCTAAAATTCCTTCAGATTCATATCCCTGACAGGAAAGAAAGCCGTGAGGAACTTCAGATAAATAATAAATGGGACTGTGGCTTTAGAAGGCACTTGAATAATACTGTCTTCGAAGTTCTCAAGAATTAAAAGATGTGCATTGGAATAAAACCAGTACATTTAGAAGGCAGGGCGTTCACTCTGTTGAAGCGCTGCCCTCACTGCCCAGACCACCTGCTCTCAAAGCCCTGGCCAAGCCTGCCTCAGCTGTGGGAGTCACCTGGCCCCTCACAGAACGTTCACAGCACTTGGTACACAATTCAAGCAGCAGTTATCACACATTGTTCTGGTTTGTTTGGCTTCTATTTCACCCAATGAGGTTTTTTTCTAAAGAATTAAAATCTAAATATGCTCCTTGTCTGCTCAAAATCTCTCCCACTAACTTCAGTTAAAAAAAAAAAACTTCAACGTGGCATTACAGGCCAGATACAAACAGCCATGCTTCCTAATCCAGCCTCACCTTTTTCTACTCTTTTCATCCTCGCCCTTGCTTGCAGCAAGCACAGTGAACTGTCCCAGTCTCGGGTAGGCTACGTTCATTCCCTCTGGGTCTTGCACCTGTTGTTGTTCCCTTACTGGAAGGCTGCCCCACCCTCCCTCTTCCTCTACTACTGTTCATCTGGCTGGTTGCTGTTAATGTCACTTTTCCGGAAAAGCCTTCCTAGACTTGCTTCCCTCAAACAGTGACTCTTGAAGGTGTCCCCATGACAATCAGTATATCCCCCAGTATCACAGTTGGCAGTCTGAGTTGACATGCGTTTTCCTGTACTTATTTCCTGCTAGGCAGTAAGCTCACTGAGGGTAGGTAGTGGATCTTGCTCCCTGCTATAGCCAGCTTCTAGCCCATTGCTTGGCCTACCTATAAAAGACCTTAGTAATTATCTGTTGAAAAGATGAATCTGAGTCTATATACCTTTGAAATAACAAAGGATATGTAACGTATGGCAAAAACTATCTTCTTTTCATCTGGTGTGAGAATTCCTTTGTAGCCAGAGACTTGCTTTGCTATAAGCACTGATAAACCTACTGTGGAGTAGAAGCAAGGCTCCTTCTGGGTTCCAGACTATTTTCCTTTTCCAGGAGGGAGAACAGGCAGGTCCAAGGCCAAGGGCTTCCTGGAGGAAGGGGTCAAAGAAAAGAAGATTCCAGCTGATGGTCCACCTGTAAAGGAACTTTGGGAGGAATTGCATAATGGGGCATTTATTAAGCTGTTTCCTATGTGGTGTGTAATAAAAACTTTTTCCTTCATCCACCCTATTAAGTCTTCAGTAGGTGTACTTACATAATGCTTTTGTGTAAGAAGTTTTGTGATTTGGGAAGCTCAAAGAGGACAAGAGGAAAGTCAACATGTGGTTATGACACATTTTTTTAAGTATTCATATTCTTGAGTCTGTCTATGGACTTGCAAACAAATTAGGCTCCTCAGAGCTGATAATGTGAAGGTACTAGTAACAGGAAGTCATTCTTCAGAGCATGTAGATCTTCTTTCATTGAGAGAAAGAATTCAGCAAGGGTCAGCTGACTCACTTGGTTATATCTTGAGGAGATAAACCCATCCCAGCCAATCATACAACCATATGTAACTCAGGTTTCCTTTGAAGAATTATTTTGTACTCAGCACCTGCATGTGGTTAGGCAAGTTTGAAGAACTGAAGTTTGGTGAAATGCATGAAGCAATTGTAAGACATTAGGGGAGGAAGGGTGGAATTTGGAAGTCTGAGCATTACATTACAATGGGGGAGGGGGCAGAAAAGGAAAGGAGGTCTGCTGTGGCATGGGTCTAGTGGCATGCCAGAGTGACATGGGCAGAGAGGTGGTTGAACAGAGAGGGTTTATCACAATGTATCACATGCAGGGTACAGTGTAAAACCTTCCTTGATCACCTTTCCATAAACTTAATAAATTTTATATGACTGACTAATGTATTTAGTTTGAGTGGATTATATCTCATACCATCAGTGTTTATAATTCATTTGAGGGTGACTGAAAGGACTATACAGAAAGCTTTGTGAGGGGTCAGTTGTAACAGTATGTATTCCACAATATCTTTTGCTTCTCAGATTGCAGAAAATAACTGCTCAGAATTTTCCCCTTTTCATCTTCTCCTAAAGGCTTCTTCACAGGAGCTCTGATCATCTTCACCCTTGACTTTGCATTGGGGCAGTTTCAGAATCAGTATTTTCTTCCTCCCACAGCTAGTACAACACGGCTGGGTGGCAGCTAGCTGAGCTTTGATACCGGAGTCCCTGTAGGCTCAAGAGATGTGTGTGCAGTGAGTCTTGCTCTCTAAGGGGAAAATGAAGCTGAATACATTTTGCCAGACTTGGAGTCTATTGGCCATGTTTCTACCATTTTTCCCTAGCTTCTCCTACTCCAAATCCTCATGAAAAGGGGGGGGGAATAAACATTAATATGTTTTAAGCATTTATGAGCCAGCTATTTTGCTAAACACTTAAAATGAATTAACCTCAGGCCCACATATTTCTGTAGGGAATCTGAGCTAAGGAACCTTACCTGATGATGGGCCATTCAGACCTCAGTGTGATGCTGCAGCATTCCATACAAAGATTTGTAGGCATTCTTTGAGGCATGAAGACTGATTTTGTTTAGAGTGAATTTAAACTACCATGTTGATTTAGAGACATCCTAGAAAACCTAGTTCAAGTTTGTATTAGTCCCCCCAGAGATTCAAGGGTTGGGGGCTCTCCTTTATTAAAACCCTACTAATTGGCAGTTATAGACTATATTCCCTAAATATAGTCTTGAAATCTGGCCCCAGGATTTTAATCAGTTCAGCATGGTACCTGGGGAGCAGAAAGAGTTTCACAGAGGACAGCCAGCATCTCTTCCTAGATTATTTGGAACCCCTCCTTTTAACACAGGGTAGGCATAATAAAGAACATTTTCTTTTCCTGACTTCCATGACTAAAAAAGTTCCATGACACTGTTTAAAAAGTAACTGAGATTTAGATGGAAGGTGTATCTAAGAATGCTGAAAACATTTTACTTTTCAAGAGAAGTGAAGGTTATATGAGGGTTAAAAGACTTGTAAGTGGGGGAATAGCATTGAAACATAACTCTGTGTTCGAACCAGGTGGACATTTACTTATGAAAAAACTAAAAGTTTAAGTGGCTTAGTAGTTCATTACCATTTGGGGCCAGTAGTGTTCAAAATAATTATAATTTTTAAGGAGAAGGAACATCATAAATCCAGGATAAAAATAAAGTATAATTTACTAAAACAGTGATTTAATGAAAGGGTATTTGTTTTTATTTTAAAATCTTAAAGCACATAATAGCATTACTTTGAATAAACATTACTATTAACCTTCAGCTGTAAAGTGATTTTCAATAATGAGAAGAGGCACAATATTAAGGAAAATTTTCTGAAACAAATAGAACGTTTAGAGAGACTGCATAAAAGGTGAGACTTAACTAAAACTGGCCAAAGGAAGATGCAAATTACGAAATTACCCAAAATAGAGTGGAAAACCGTTTTATTAGGAGTAAAGCCAAATGAAAGCTTCAGTCACCCAAAGTTGCACACCAGTGATTTAATTAGAAAGGTCTTTCCTTATAAAAAGAATTAATTCCAATTAATGGAAAATTCAAATTATGTTTATAAACACTAACAAAATGCTATCATTCCATAGCATATTACTTACACAGCACCTATCCCATAAGACACTTTATGAAAGACAAAGGTTCGTTAATTTTGCTAATTCTCCATTTTATAGATGAAGAAGCTGAAGCATAAAGCATTTAGAAGACAAGCCACTGCAAGTTTCCAGAACTGCTGAAGAAATTCCTTCCCTCTTAGTCCTTTGTTCATGATATTCCCCCAAGAAAAAAAAATTAAAAGCAAGCCCCAAGTAGCACAAAATGAGAAGGGAAAAGTTTTATAAAGGTCTGCAACAGCAGTCCAGAAGAACTGTGGAACTGAAAGTAAGAAATAAATATTTACAAATGGTGAAGACTTCAATTCCCTTCTCTCTGGTCTTTCTAATACAGCATGAACTCAAGGTGCTGCCTCATGCAGAGAAAAACTTCTTGATGCAAAGCTTTTGATCTGGAGCTCCTGACATCCTCTGCCTTAGCACTTGGTAGACATTTAGCATCTTTGGAGAGAGTGAAGTTCATGCCACTGTTGACAACATTAGCCACAGTGGAACCTAGCAAACTAGGGATCCTTTTTGGAAGCCCACCGTCAAGTTACTGGGCCGGTCAAACCCTCACCTGCTGCACTGAGACTGAGATCTCAGAAGAAGCTACAGCCTGGCAGGTAGAAGTAAAAGGCAGTCTGACCAACCATCAGAGAAATATACCTGCTGAGATTCTCAATGAGCAATCCAAAAGCCATTGTTCTGAGTGATTCAGTGATTGTCCCAGGCCATTCTGTGTGTGTGTGTGTGTGTGTGTGTGTGTGTGTGTGTGTGTGTGTATGTGTATGAGACAAAGTGAGAATAGGAAAAGCAAACTCAAGGGGCATTCATTGTTGCTACCTGCCTTCCCCAGGAGATCCTGTAGTCAGACAACCAGCAGAACAGAACCTAGGCCAGGAGAGGTGCCCCAGAAGATGTGGTTGTGGAGGAAGAAGGGGCCGGGTCACAGACACCCTGCACTACTGTCCATATTGAAGAGCTCAGATTTCATCCAGAAGGCATTGGAAGCTGACAAGCATTTTAAGCAGAGAAATGCACTTGAGAATGATCATTCTGGCCAGCTGCAACATGGAGTGAAGTGAACAGGAACTGCTTGGCTCATGACTGTAACATGGTGTCTGGAGCAAAATAACTAAGTAGGTGCTCAATAAATATCTGTTACTGGATGACTAAATGATCAAATGAATAACTTTAATGAGGGAGAAAGAAGAGCCTGGCAAAGAGCTCACTTTGTTGAAGGTTGCCAACCGTATCCTAATCACAAGACAAATGAGAGTTCTTAATGTGTAAAGGAGGGTAACACTGTCTACTTCATACTATTGATTATGCCTTTGGGATGCTTTCAATATAGTGGAGGAGGCAGAAACAAAGACAATTAAGTAAACTATTAACACATTGTGATTGGTATCATGATGGAAACCAAGATCCAAGATAAGGAATAACAAAGGAAACCTATTTTAGAGGATCTGATTGAGGACAATCTCCCTGAGAATGTGATACGTAAGCTGAGCCTCAGATGAGGAGAAGGAACTAACTATATGAAGAACCAAGGGAAGAGATTTACAGGAAGAGGAATAACTTGTACAAAAGCTCTGAGGCAGGAAAGATCTTGTTTTGTTTCAAACACTGTAGGACCAGAGTGAAAGGAGCTCAAAGCCTATGCAAGAAAGTAACAAGGCAGGGGCCCTGTCACTCAGCCTGGGAAATAAGGCATTGATAGCTTCAACCAGCCAACCCTCTTCCCTGTTCCAGAGGAGGAATGAAAGTCATCTAAGAGAGGTAGCAGAACAGACAAGCAGCTGGAAGAATGAGAAGAATTTCAGATCAGGTTAATCCTAAATCTTCCCTAAAGGTATCACCATAGCCTAGAAACACTCTGATGGGAAAGGAGTGAGTGCTCTGAAGATAAACAATTCAACTTGGTCAAAGGAGATGCTTGGGAATGGACAACCAGACTTTCCCCCAGGAAAAGTATTACTCACCTGCCTCATGGAAAGAGAAGGTTTTGTGTTTTTCATTTTCCTTCAACATTATTGGCACCCTGAGGTCAAATTCACAAGGGGAAAGATGTGAAAGAAAGAAACAAGGAGAGGGAGGAACACCTTCCTAGAAGGTGTAGACCAAGGGGAGATGAAGAAGCAAGTCAGCACAAGGAGGAATCCCCCTTTTTGCTCCTATCTCAAAGCTCCCCATTGTCTCCATCCTAATGGAGACTGGACTGGCTGGGCATGAGGTTCTGTGGCCCAGAGAGAAGAGAGTTGTTTTACCTCCCATCCTCCTTGAACTTGGTGTATGTTATGTTTGCTCCTGAATGAAGGTATACCTACATGGGAAATTCCTCTTCCAATGGGGAGAATGTCCTTTCCTTTTATTCTCTTTGATTATTCCTGATTGAAGTTCTTCATATTTTGCCTACAGCTTTGTAGTTCCATAACATGTCTAGGAAGAAACATTTTGTAGATGAAAGCAGATGGGATCCCAGCAGGAGGAGGAGGAGAAGGGTATCCCTTATGAACTTGGAAGGTCTGTGAGATGAAGGCCTTCTTGTGTCTTGGGCACCTCAGACTGCCAGGTGGAACTTCTCTGCCCTGGGACTCACTCCCACTCAGGATAATAAGTGTGGGGAAATTCTCAGTTCTACCATTTATATTACATGACCTTGAGCAAGTTCCTTAGGCAGGCTAAAAATAATTTTTCCATAACGATGTTTTGCCAGAATTGGAGATCATTAATGGATAATGAAATCAATTTATAACCTCAACAATTATTTTTTAAAAAAGAGTAGAATGGAAAATAATAGAATTCTTTGCATATGGTAAGGGTTAAATATTGTTCCATGGAACTTGTTCCTTGTGTTTACTGGTCTCAATGTCAAATGCATTGCTTATTGTGGGTCGTGAACAAAGAAGTTTGAAAAATACTGAGAATTTAGTTTCTAGCTCCAGTTCCCACTCAGAAGTAAGAAGAAAGGTTAAAATTGTATATTCAACACTACTCAGCCTCTTTCAGTCTCAAATTGTCGATTCCGGGCATTCTGATGTCCATTCTTACCTTTTCCTTCCTTCTACTCTCTCACACGTGTTCCTCCTTCCTTTGCCTGCTCAGTCTCCGTCTCAGGGCTTGGTCTTACTGGTATTAGAGCTTTAAGAAGGCAAAACCAACCAACCTATCAACTTAACCAAGCAGGGAAAAGGTAAACCCCAATTTACCAAGAAGGAGAAAGGAAGTAGGAAATGCTTTTTAAAATAACAGTTCCCACTAAATATATAACCTATCCAAGACTCAGGTTCCTTATCTATTACACATGCTGAAGATCACATAAGCTTAATATTTAAATGCCTGCCACACTTTAAATATTCGATAAATTTGAAGTCCTCCCCCTTTGGGCTCTTAACGTTGCTCAAAGAATTTCTCTAAGCCAGTCCTTGCTGTCTGGGAACTTAGGCTGGGATATGGATGTGTATGGTACCTAGAGACAGACCAATGCAAACAAATCAATGCATCAGGGAGGAGAAGGTATTTATATCATACTCAGGTCAAGTGAGCTTTATGGCCTGTGGCCAAGATCCTGAGACATATCTTAACTGATGAATTCCCCAGGAAACCAGTTCAAACATACTCAGATTTAGAAAACAAAACAAAACAAAAAACACAAGTATTGTTCCCAATTAAGGTGCCTGCTAACCAGCCCTAAGCAAAATTGAGAGGGTGACGGCTCTGTTCCCAAGCCCCCCTGCCGCCCTGCTCCCTGGTTCACTGCTAAGGGGCAGTCCTCACTGAGCACAGGGTTGTTCTCATGCTCCTTTTACGACCCACCCCCCCCAACTATTCTGAGAAGACTCTGACACGTGTAAAATAATTGACACTTTAACCAAAACCCAGTCTCGCTGCAGTGTTCCTATGGAATTATGTGTGTGTGTGTGTGTGTCTGTGTATATATATATATATATTTTTATATATATAATATACCATATATATTATATATAAATTTCATATATTAGATTAAAAAGAATTTTCTTCAGGAAATTTCCAGCAGAATCAAGGGACCTGAAGGAATCTCACTTAGCCCCTTAGTGTAGCATAGCAGTTGGGCAGTGGAGTGGGAGGGGAAGATAGTCCATGGTCTGGCCTGTTCACAGGGCACATTTTCCTCAGCTGAATGCCCTCTGACCTGGCCCTAAAGCAACCGAGATAGAGAATATGCCTCCATTCTTCCAGGACAGCAGCCTGCCTGCCTAACAGGAACTGACAGGCCTTAATCCCTCCCCAGGTCTTTATTCCTTAATCTCTCCCTACTTTAATGCTGTATTGGTCAGAGTTCTTCAGAGAAACAGAACCAATAGGATATATATATATATGTGTGTGTGTGTGTGTGTGTGTGTGTGTGTGTGTGTGTGTGTGTGTGGTGTGTGTGTGAGAGAGAGAGAGAGAGAGAGACAAAGACAGAGACAGACAGATTGGGACCTATTTTAAGGAATTTGCTCACAAGATTATGGAGGCTTGTAGATCTAAAACCTGTAGGGTGGACCAGGGGGCTGGAGACCCAGAGAATAACCAATGTACAGTTGAAAGCTGCCTGCAGGCATAATTCCCTGGGAATCCCTTTGGAACCAATCTTGGGAGAGATCAGTCTTTTGCTCTATTCAGGCCTTAAACTGATTGGATGAGGTCCACCCATATTATGAAGAGCAATCTGCTTTACTCAAAGTGTACCAACTGAAATGTAAATTTCATCCCAACACCCTCATAGAAACATTCAGAATATTGTTTGACCAAATATCTGGGCATCCTGTGGTCTAGCCATGTAGGTATAAAATTAACTATCACAACTTTTAAACCTGGAGTGGACATTCCCCAACCACCAACCTGAATCCAACTGTTTTTCAACTCTGGCACTCTTTCAGAATTCCCAGATTCTAAATGTTATAGTCTAGCACATTTTCAGTTGTTCAAGGATTTAGAGATTGTTCAAGATTGTAATTCTTTCTCCTTATTTGACATGGAGAAGCATCATAATGGGGAGAGGATGGTTTCTTACAGTTCTCAAATTTTTTGCTTTCAGGACCCTTTTACACTCTTAGAAATTAAGAATGTAAAGGAATTTTCATTTACATTGGCCATATCTTTAGATACTATGCCTTAGAAAAACATATATATCATATTAGAGATGAAAAATGAGACATTTAAAAATGTTCATGAATTTTTTTCAAAATAATAATGTTAACAAATATGTTAGCATGGATAATATATTCTTATGAAAAATAACTGTTTTCCAAAACAAAAATAAGTAGTGCAAATTATGTCATTCTTTTACATTTTGCAATTCACTTTAATGCCTGCCTTAACAGAAGATGGTAGGAGTCTCATATCTGCTTCTGCATTCAACCTGCTGTGCTAGGTTATTTTGATTAAAGTATATGAAGAAAACCCAGCCTGACAGAAATACATAGCTGGAAAAGGGAAGACTTGCCCAGGATTCCTTGGATCATACTTTGAGAACTACCAGTTTTGCACAACAATCTCTACTTGTGAGCCAGAGGTCTCAGGTTCTGGACTCTGCTCTGTCAGTAACAGCTGTGGAACTGAGTCACTAAACCATTCTGGACCTCAGCTTCCTGATCTAAACAAGTAAAGGAATTAATATGTTGTGGAACCCCTACTTAGGTACAGTATATATACCATTTAATTGGCTCTTAATAATAACCTACAATGTAAGCAGTTGTGATAAATGCCTAACAATCAGGGAGGAATTGGTCAGATGCTCACATAGATGTGACTTATATTGTCAAATGGAACATCAAGCCCAGGATGACATACACTAGTTGTATCTACTGCCCCTGTGGACCAGTGCACAGCCTGATTACTTCTTTCCCATGAAGGATGGTGATTTAGCACAGAATACTAATGCAGGCTTCTGCCTTTCCCATAAATCCCTGTCTTGAATTAATATACATTTTTGCCTAATATATGCTGTAACGTGTATTCAGGTAAGTGTGGTTGGCATTAAATTACTGGTTTCTGTTTCCATCTCTCTATTCCTCCATCCCAGGGCATATGGGAAGAGTGAGGAAAGGAGATTTCAGGGAGATAAGGGCAGTATATAAAATGAAAAGGGAAGAACCAAGTTTCAATAGTGATGTTAGGGACACCAGAATGGGAGGAGAGAATTAGAGTTAGCCGCTCCCATGAAGGCCAGGGGGTTGAGGTTAGCATGCTGGCCTAGGGGAGACCTTATTTGTAGTATTTGCCAATTTCTGTGATGTAAGTACTTCCATAAAGGACAACTCCAAGCTACCAACATGACATTTGAATATGGAGTTGGGAAGAGATGTACACAATTGGCTTTTAAGACCCAGTGCCAATGTGAATCTCATTTATAGCAGCAGTAAGAAACTGAGGCTTCATCGATTAAAGAACTTGGCTGAGAACATACAAGCATAAACATACCCCTGGCACACTAAATAAAGTAAATTTCAGATTTTATTTAGTACAAACTCAGTCACATTAAAAAATAATAATAATAAATACATCTGTGTATAAATTAACTGAATGTAAATGATAGAAAAGATCCAGAGATGTTTTGTTGCCCTTGTCTAGCTTGGATTAATACTTAGTCTATAGGCACACACCTGATCATCTACATTTGCCCTCTTACAGCACTAAACTATGTTTTCTACCTTTATCTTGCATCTACCTACCACTTCAGCATTTTATTTAAAAAAAATAATAATAATAATAAGGGAGAAATGTGGGAT